TCGGTATTTGCTCGGTATTGCTAGGTATTATTTGATAATAACGAGGAATACCGCTCTGTGAAGACCAATACCGAGTTATACCGAGCTATACCGAGCAATACCGAGTTGTACCAAGTTTTTTCTAGGAAAAACTCGGTACAACTTTTGTATAACTCGATATTGCTCGGTATAGCTCGGTATAACTCGGTATTGGGTCTTCACGTGATGGTAATCCTCATTATTGTTTGGTATTGCTCGGTATTTCTCATTTTTTGGCGCGATTTGGCCTCCGACCGGATGTTCCTCTACGTCCGGTCGGAGGACGTAATAATTGTTCCTATATGAGTGATTATATCAAGGTTGGGCAAGGCCTAGTGAGTGCGCTTATTTTGAACACCACAATTTTGGCTTATGTGTTTATTAATAGAATACATCCTTTCTTCTATGGATGAAGTATTGGTTAAAGACAAATCACGTAAATTTTGGTGTCTTTTCTGTAGGTTTACTCTTTCTTATTGGTGTTTATTTCAAGCACATCATTATCAGACCTGGCGATGCTTCTATATTTATGTCATTTAGTGTTGCCTTACAACAAACTGATATCAAAATGCAATTCTTGATCGATGTCCATGAAGTTCAAGATGGAGAAATTTGATAGGCCAATGATTTTAAAACTTTGAAGAACTAAAATGTATGCAATTTATGCCCAATAAGATGTAATAAAAGCACTCATAAAGCATTTAAAAATGCCATAATTCAAGAGTGAAGAAGATATGACAAAGGTAGATAAAAAATACCTATAGTGATCTAATTGTGTTTGGTAGATTAGGTTTTGATGAATGCCTTGAAAGAGTTGACTAAATAAAGTTTATCGCTCAAGTTGGAGTCATTTTTCATCACCCAAAATCTCTCTTACAAAAACATCAAAATTAAATATTTTATATGTTAAGTATGCGGGATGATGCATCAATCAAATCGCATCAAAACTATTTTAGTTCATTTATTTGTGCTTTGTTTGTGAGGGGTAATCAATAAAAAAATGTTTGAGAAACTTTGTTGACATCAACAAGACTTGTTTCTATTGCAAGAGACACGAGCATAAGAAGATATATTTTATGGCTTAGAAGGAGAGGAAGCAACAAACAAGCTGACAATATTAGGAGGATAGGACAACGGATGCAAATATGACTAATATAGATTCGGCCATTCTAGTGATATTTTTTCTATGACTACAGGTTATAGGTGCAGCAATTAGTGGGTACTTGACTCAATATATTTTTTTCATATGTTTCATGATAAGATATTATCTTCTAAATTTAAACCATGTAATGGGGAGCATGTGAATATGAGAAACTGATATGTGTAAGTCTATATGTCTAGGCAATGCTTCTATTATAACATATGATAGTATATCTAAGACTTTGGTTTGGGTGATATATACATACAAACACTTGATTTAAGGGTGAATCTTTATATCATTGGTTGTTATTGGGGTATGTCCTTTGAGGATCTCGTATGGATTCCATGAAGACTAGGAGAAAATTTTGAATATCTTTTGTAGGGTGCAACTTTAGGTGCTACTTCAATTCTTTCTTTGCCAATGTTAAGGCAGTACATTTTGTTAAAGCAGAAGAGCGAGAGTTCTCCTTGCTAAAGTAAAAGTTTGAGAATAATTTTAGGCATGAGATTATGGGAAGGCTTGGATTAGATGGATCGAGTTTATATTGCACGATTTGCCCCAATGCAAGATCAAAGAGATGGCCACATCAGAGGTACCATTGCAGCATTCAGGATGAGAGATGACATATTTGGGGTACAAAAATTCAATGGCAAGTATACAATTCAATTCAGGGTACCACTTTAATCCACCATTTATGCCACCGCAAACTCTTCGAAGTATTTAGTTCATATAACATTTGAGCTTGATGAGATTACACAATGTTCAGCCCTTCAAAACTTGTGGAGCTTATAGTGCTCAACTTTAAGAATGAAAAACATTGATGAGATTAAATATTTTCAAGTCTTAAGTCAAAGGCAAGAATTATTATGTGACACGATACTTATTCCATAATGCCCCTCATGCATTAAAGTATGAAATAGGTATTTCATTTCATGCAACTTTAGTGGAATCGGGATTCCATTAGGATATTGGATAGAATTTTTTATCTCAAAAGTCAGGAAATTGTTTTCCTTAGTGTGATGTAGACAAATTTGTATGGGATCTTCTAAGGGGTTTGAAAGCATGCTATCAAAGTAGAATTAATCATGATTAATTAATGTAGACAAAGGAGGGGTCAACTCATGTCCAAAATAAATCAATTTTGGCCTCCCTCAAGTTTACAAGCTCAATCAAAATTGAGCTGAAATTTTAGCTCATTTATGAGCTGGTCTTTAGTTCACTTATTGAACTAAGGGTTAGCTCATTATTAGCTAACATTTTAGTTCATATTTATCTTTTATTAAATGTTATAGTTTTTATTATTATATGTTTTTAATTATGTTAGTCTCTTGGAATTCCAAAGCGGCTTTTGGAATTCCAAGATGTTTCATTTTTCCATTCGGTGGCTCTTTGGATTCCACCATGGGTTTTGCTTTTTGTGCCTTTGCCCATTGGGATTCCAGCCGGCTGCTGGTTTTCCGCGCCTGGGATGATTCCCGCGGCTGTGGCTCCTTGGTTCCGTGCGGCCTACTTGTCTCCCGCTATTGCTGCTTCGGTTCCTGGGCTTGGGCTGTTTTCCGTGATGCATGGGGGGGATTTCCATGCTCATGGTGCTTAGGTTCTTGTGCAAATTAATGTTATGTGTCTTTTGATATTCCCTTTCATACCTATACATATGGGGGTTTGTATCAAAATAGTTGAATGTTATGTGATTTTTGGAATCTAACTTGCGGGTTATTGGAAAAGCTTGCGAGCTTTGTCTGTCTTCTTTCTCATCCCCTCCGGAAATCTTGCGAGCTCTTTTCAACCTTTCGTCTCAGCTTCTAATCTCTTTCGTCTCTCCGCAAGTGCCACTCCACTTGTATCCCTCTTCTATTGTGAAGCAACTTTAGGGTGTCTTTTAATTTCGAGTCGAGTTTGTAAGTCGTCGTAATTTTGTTTTTTTAATTTCTAAGTCGGTCTTAGATTTGAAATGTAAGAGTTTGTTCTTCCTCATCTTAGTTGCATCTTTCGTGATTTAGTGGGTCGTCATTTAAGGATCAATCGTTCATGTGGGCGAGGGGTATAGGCTCCCTATATTTCTTGCCCCCACCACTTCTACATCTTTTCTCACACATAAATTCTCTAATCTCATCGCTACTCTACAAATTTGGTAGTATCTTCCTTGAGAGTAAAGTCTTTGACCTTTTTCTTAAACATGATTGGCACTTAGGCATCAATGTGGCCAGTAACTGGAGTCTATTAAAGAACTCATTGGTAGTTTTTGTTAAAAAGCTTCTGGTTGTATTTGAGTTCACGTAGGAGGCTGCCTCAAGGTACTCGATATCAACAACATCCTGCTTGGACATGTCTTCTATAACCTTCATGCCAATTATACAGCTTTGGCAATGTCTACCATGACACTGCAAAATAAAAAAAAACCCTCAGTGCCAAGGAACTTTTGGTTATCTGAAACATCTTTGGCACTGAGGCTGCCTATGTCTTGGAAGCTAAAGCTGATTGACCAGATCAATGGTTGTCTTTGTTGAGAAGTACATTGTTCTATTTGAGTTCACAAAGTAGTTTGCTCATTTTGTTCATGGAGTTTTGTGGTTAGCATTGTCGATTGATGGGATTTTCTTTGGACCTTAAGTGAGGCCATGGCTTTTCCCACACCTCTTAGACAGATGTCATTATTAAGTCATGCTTAGGTGAGCTCCTTTGCTCTGATTGAAGAGATTGATGCTAATATAAATAAAATGCTAGCTTTTATGATGATTACTTGACATGAGGTGATGCAATGTGAGCATCAACTGTTGCTACAAAGCTTGAAGTTAGAGAGTAGTATATTCTGAGAATTAAGAAGACGAATGTAAGGAGATAGAGAAAGAGACTACGTTGTAAATTTAGATGGAAAAGAGACTAATAATGGTGGTTAAAATGTAATGGATAGTATCAAAGATTAGATTATCCCAATAGGTTTACATTTTACAAAGCTAGTAATTTATTGTAGTTAAAGATAATCTATTTAACAATAATTTTGAACTTGAAATATAAACTTGAAGATTTGTAATTTTTTCTACTTTATTTAATGTGATGATTTCTACTTCATGCTCTTAAAAAAACATTTATTATAGATAAAATTAGTTTGCAAGTGATGCATCCACTTTTTTGCAGTGCTCCACTTTGCTTGTGCAAGCACCTTGGGTGATACCTAGTGCCTCAGGCATTGAGCTACCATGTCTACTTCAGTTTTGGTGCCTAATACTTTTGATAACAGTGCTTCGAACTTTGACATCTTTTAACCATACTAAGCCAAAAACTGGCATACCCAAAAGTCAGCCAAAGTGCCATTCAATTTTTAAGTTGATGGAGGCAACCAATATTGTGTGGTGGTCAGTTATAACAATTTGAAGAGGAAATTGCACACCCCTATTCAGATGTATATTGACAAATGCTTGTTAGACAAGTTGATATAAACTATCTCTTGACGAGATGGACATGATAAAATTGCAACTGGTACTAAAATTGAGAATTCTTGTATAAAAATGTAACCCTTTTGGTTTGATGTTGTTTGCTAAACTTGAGTAAATTTAACTTTCAACTAAATATTTTATAAGATTATGGAATTGATATTCCTGGGAATCTGTAGTTCAGTTGGTACTTGGTGTAATATGTTATCAAATTTTTATTTGGAATTCTACCATCTATGTTCAACAAAGAAATAATGTTCTTTATTTTAGGAGTTTTCTAAACAATCTTATGCAGTGACTTATTTTAATAATGTTGCGATCTTTTCTAATTTTGTTGATTATGTATCCTTTGGCCCAGTTGTGTTCAAGATTTATAACTACTCTTTTGTCATGGTTTTTCTATTTATCAGAACGAATATGGGGGGTAGTAATGAATGGGATAACCGTATGATGGATACATTGAAAAATTTTGATCTCAGTAGTCCAGAGGTCAAACAGCAATTTGGTAAGATACGATCAAACGCAATCTTGATATTCTGAGCTGCTCAATTTTTTTACATGGTGTGTTGTCAATGCAAAATTATTATTATTTTTTATTGTTTTTTTTCTTTTATGGTAATAAAAATTGTTTGATTTACTTCATAATGTTGATGCATTGCTTTTTATTTCCCGTTAAGTATCTAAAGCTTATGTCATGTTAGGTGTTCTAGCCCTTCAATTTAGTGCTTTTCAGGTATAATCTGATATTTAGTTATTGCACCACTTGTGCGAAGTGAATGGAAGCACCAATGAAAGGTAGGGGGTCAAATTAGTATGTACAAGCGAATGTATATTTCTGAAAAATCAGTGCGAACATAAAAAAAAAAATTGGATTTTTATTTTTCTTGATGGATTACAAAACAGGAATAACTAATAAAATAATTCAAGAATAAAAATCAGTAAAGTAATTTTGCAAAAACTCACAACAAGATTATAATAATTTGATATTCAACTAGAGATCTATGCAAAACATATGCTTATCATCATCCACTAGTAAATCCATTGAATTAGAGTATAAGAAATGACAAGTAGTCAAAAGTAACGATGGAAAGAAGTAAAAGCAATAGAAAGGGTGCAAATCAATTTTTATCGTGGTTTGGAACTAATGCCTGCGTCTACGCCTCGAGCCCTTTATTTTGAAATTTCATTACTCTCTCCGTAAGCAGCATAGGGTGAGGAAGCCCCTCTCATTGATAAGCAATGGAGAAATTCTGCATTCTATTCTATTTTAAGTGAGAAAACCACTATTCTAGCCCCGGCTAGTCAACCAAAGAAACAAAGAAAACCTTAAGGATCTCAAGGATCTCCTATAATTACACAACATTAGCTCTTCAATAAGCCACAAAAAGCATTGGAGGATCTGATGTGATACCACATGCGAAGGAGCTTCTTAAGAGAATTAAAAGTAATTGACAATGGAATTACAATTAAGAGCTTATTGAGATAACAAATAAAATCATTAAAGGTTCTTAGTTGTTAACTTGCTTAGGCGAAGGAGTACAAGTAGATTAACCAAAAACTCATGGATAACCAAGGATAGTAGCAATACCAAAAGCTATTAATCAACAATCCGTAATTTAATAACAAGAGTTTCACCTTGGGGATTGATCACTCAACTACACTAGGCTTAGCGGGAGAAGATCTTCAGCACGCCAAACGATGCCATGAGGAAGGTTGCAACGTCGATGGTCTTGAGCCACGGAAAGGTCGACGGTGGTGGAGGAGAAACGGACGGATAGCCGATGACGGTCCACGAAATGAAGCTCTTGGACAGCACACGAAGGCCTCCGGGTGGCAAGACAGTCACCAAAAACAGTCCATAATTCCGGGACAGCAATTTACTCCACGGATAGCAGCCGCTTGGCCACGTGGGAGAGGTATTTTGGGCAACAGAAAGGTTTTGGGGATGCAGGACAGCAATACAGAGTTGCTGTAATTTCTTAGACAACAGTTATAAAACTCCCAAAGAGGAGGTATTCAATGGAAGGGGCCTTTTGGAAGGCACGGGTAGGGTGAAGTGATTTTATTAAACCTGAAATTAAATTTCAAGTCGACCATGAGAGGTTAATGTTTGAATTTTGAAATGAGAGGGAAATTAATGGGCATTTAAGGGCCCATCAAGAAGGGGGCCGGCGGTTTCATTAGAGAAGGGGAAGGGATTTATTTCAAAACCTGAAATTAATTTCAGGTTTTGTATGAAATTGGGGGAATTTAATTTGAAATTTGAATTCAAATTAGGTGGCCATGAATGCTCTAATCGAAGAATTAATGTAGCATTCAAAGGGGAGAGAAAATAGGCTAGATGGGGAGCCGGCCAAGCAATGGGGAAAGAGAGGGAATTTGATTATTAGTGGGGCCCATGGAGTTAATTAAAACCTGATTTAAATTTCAGATTTTAATTAATTAGGGGGATTTGAAATTTGAATTCAAAACATATGGGATCTCATTTAAATCCATTCCTAAATGTAGTGAGTCATTTTAGGAAAGAAGTAATGAAGGAATTAAAGCATGAAATTCAACTTCCAAGAGGAAGGGGCCGGCGGGATTTTACCAGGGAAGAGGAGCCGGGTCAAGGAGGGGAAGACGGTGGGCTGGCTGGGCCGGCGGCAGGCACGGCCGGCGGCAAGGAGGCGGCGGGTGGGTGAGCCGGCGGGTTTTCTTGGGGCTTTTGGGTGGGACGGCTGCAGGGAGACGGGATGAAGGGAAAAACAACAAGGTCGGGTAGATGAGGGTTGATGGGGAAGGAGAAAACAACAAAAATATAAAATAAACCAAGAGCTCACCACGGTGGCTGTTGGGTACTTCGGGTGGAGCCTCTCCTAGGCTTTCCTCACTTGAGAACTCACACAGAGATCTCTAGAACTCACAAAGAGATCCATAACAAAAATTTTCATTCATAATCTTCATTAGCTATTACAAGAGGAAAGACCCATATATATAGGTCTCAAGCATACATGAATAAATAAAGACTAAATTGCCCTCAGGGCCCCAACATAACTCAACTCAACATAAGGGTACAATAGGAAAATATAAAAATAAAAATACATAAACAATTAGAAAAATAAGCTCTGAATCATGGCCATCGATCGGTGATGCACATGTTTGGACTTTGGATCGATGTCCTCATCACATATTACTCACGGGTAACAACCCAGAACTCATATCCAGCATCATATTGAAACTACAAAACATATTTTCCATGAAACATTTAGGTAGGGCAAACAATTTTCTTGGCATACAAATACTCACATACAAAAATTCCATTTTTCTATCTCAAACACAATATGCAAAATCTCTACTTCAAACTATCGGTATGCATGCATGTAAGCCTCTATCTAATCCATCATGCACCAAACCACCACAGCATATACCACATGATCCTATTCTCATAGACCCATATACATACCGACAAATAATAGGCTCTACAATACTTGACCATAACCAGACCTGACATAGCATTTCATGTTAACCTACTTTGTCAACACATGCATGATCCACAACCATGTCAATCTACTCAAAAGATTACTAAGATACATCAAAGGGATGGAAAACTACGGTCTTCCCATCTCTCATGGACCGCTAGATCTCTCAACATACTCAGACGCAGATTGGGCAGGTGACATAGAAACGAGAAGATCTACCTCAGGATATTGTTCGTTTCTCGGAACAACACCGATTTTGTGGACAGTAAAGAAACGACATACCGTGTCCATATCATCAACAGAAGCGGAATACAGAGCTCTGGCGGCAGCTATTACCGACATTATTTGGCTAAGACAACTGCTTCAAGACTTCAAAATACAAGTTTTGCATCCTACAGATCTCTACTGTGACAGTACTTCAACGATCGCCTTAGACAACAACCCTGTATTTCATGCAAAAACAAAACACATGGAAATAGATCATCATTTCATACGACACCATATACACTCGAATATTATTCGAGTTCAGAAGATCAGCACACAGGATCAGCTCGCAAACATCTTGACGAAGCCTCTCTCCACTTCGAGATACCATTTCCTTAGAAGCAAGCTAAGGGTTTCCGAAAACCCTCGGCGAGTATAGCCGTCATATAACAAACAGGGATGCAATCAAATAGAACAGAACACGTCAGCAAAACAAGAAATGAATGCCAGCCACATGATTGAGATTTATTATCAGCCACATATTTCATACATGTAACAAGTATAAATACGTGTGATACGATTGATATCAATACAAGGAAATAATAACAGTTAGCCTCCTTTAAACTTCATTTTCCCTCTTCTTTAGTTCTTTACTGACCTTGATTCACCAACTTCCAAATTTAAACGTATGCTATTAGTCCAGAACATAAAAAGTCTAGGAGGCAGAACTGCATTAATTTGACAGGTATTTGTTTGGCTAGCCCGGGGGGCTGCTGAACATATTAAACCGGTCCCTAGTGGACCGGATTTGATTTACAGGAGGAGGGGCCAAGGGGGGCGGAATCAAGGGGTAGGGGGGCGGCTAAACAGATGGGTCCCACATTTTAATTAAGCACTATATTGGAGGAAAAATTCAAAATGATTTTTGTACTTCTACTCTTCTAGTGAGTGTCCCAAATGATGATTTGACTAAGAAGAAAATACAATAGTTTTAAGTAATCAAATTAAAATAGAGTCCTCTTAAATCAAAATGTAGTATAACCTCTCTTTGCCTTTTAATGTATCTATTTTTATAATGGCTCGGCCCCCATCATGCCCTAAAATTGTTTTGTTTTTCAGATATATGAAGTGCTTTTTTGTATCATTTTTAATTAGTAAACCATAATTTAGTAGAACTTCTATATTTATTAATTTGCCTGAGTGATTCCTGGTGTAATACATCGGCAAAAACTAAAGTATCTCTATGATGCACAAATGGTGACACATTCTATATCAAGCCTAGTTGAATCCTCTCCTCATATCTCATCCTATAAAATTTCAGGTCCTCAGTGCACTATTCAACCTTTGCAAGATAAACAAGAGGAGACAGGAACAAGCAGCTGAGAATGGAATCATTCCTTATTTAATGAACTTTATAATGTCAGATTCATCATTGAAGCATAGCGCATTGCCACTTCTCTGCGACATGGCTCACGCGTCCCGAAACTCAAGGGAGCAGTTGAGGATTCATGGTGGATTGGATGTGTACCTAAACCTTTTGGAGGATGAAGCATGGGCTGTGACCGCATTAGATTCCATTGCAGTCTGCTTGGCCCATGACAATGACCACAAGAAAGTTGAACAGGCTATGTTGAGGAAAGAGGCCATCCAGAAGCTAGTGAAGTTCTTCAGGGATTGCCCAGAACAATATTTTGTCAACATATTAGAGCCTTTCTTGAAGATCATTACGTATTTGATTCCCTGTCTTTCAAATGTTCATCTTTCCATCTTCAGCTTGGGTGTCACAACGTTAATTTCTACTTGATGTTACAGGAAATCAGCAAGGATAAATACTGCAATGGCAACCAGTGGTCTTGCTACTCTTCTTATTTCAAGACTGGACCATCAAGATGCTATTGCTCGGCTTAATCTTCTTAAATTAATCAAGGTTGGTTTCTGTTCTCAAGATTCATCACACTCATGAATTTGCATTTTTGTTACACAAAGGGCTCGGATGGGACGGCTTTCTTAATGTTTCATAAAGCAGCTTTTTTGTACAAAAATTAAAAATTTTGTATTGGAATGTTGCTCTAAGGCTTCGTTTGGGACGGATTTCTTTCCGCTTCTTACAGCGGATGTAAGAAGCAGTAAGAAAGCCGTCTCAAACGAAGCCTAAGAAGCAGCAAGAAAACCGTCCCGAATGAGATGAAAGTTTAGAGCTTTTATGATATTTTTTTTTTATGATGAAGGCTGTTTATGAGCATCATCCAAGACCAAAGCAGCTCATAGTGGAAAATGACCTCCCACAGAAGCTCCAGAATTTGATCGAAGAGCGCAGGAATGGGCAACGGTCCGGAGGCCAGGTCCTTGTCAAGCAAATGGCGACTGCACTTGTAAAAGCCCTTCACATCAACACTGTTCTTTAGATAATTATTATATTCAATATGATGGTCTATTAGGGCAGCTTTTTATTCCCACATCCTTTTTTCTAAAATTCTTATAATGAAAATATATTTTTTGACAAAATTTTCTAAAATGTTAGCTTTAGAAAAGTTTCTGTTCAACTTTAACAAAGAAAAAAAAAACATTTTTAAAATACTCAGAATTGTATTGAAAATATTATTTTCTCACTACAACTCTATTAGAATTAAGTTAAAAAAAAATTATAGCTGCCCTCAAATAGACCTAGAGTTTCTTTTTTCCAAATAAAAGTGTAATTATGTATATATATATATTTTCTTCTTTTTATTTTAGTGTTTCAGTTTCTTCTTATTATTTTTGTTCTAAGCATATTTTTGAACTCTCCCTGGAAATTTTGAGTATCGCTAATATTAATTTAGCATTTCTGTTTATGCTAATTGCTAGTAAAGACTGCTGTGTTGGTTAACTTAGAGAGAGAGAGAGAGAGAGAGATTTAAATTATTTTCATAAATGAATTTATAGTAGGTATTATATAGTTAATATGATGATTATTAGTCTTATAACAAAGATGCTTTATTGGAGCATTTAGTTTGTTTAATGAAATATTGAAATGAATGTGCATGATAATAAATTTTCAATCATAGAATTCACTTTCAATGAATATGAATTTATACAATAATAAATTAAAATAAAATTATTTATATTATATAAGAAATGCATTACAAGACCTATTATTAACATGTATAACAATAATTAAATACTAAAAAATAAATTTAATAATTTATAATGTATAAAAATTTAATATAGATAAAGAATAAATGAATGATGATCAAAGAGTATATTTATCCATTAGTAAATAATATCTATTTATCTCAAAAAAATGATATTTTTTAATACAGATCTGTATATCCAATAATGACAACAAGCTAGACGTATAATCAATTAGTACTCTATGTTAGAAAAATATTTTTCTGAACCTTCCTATTTCTCGAAGCTGGATAAGTACTCAACGAAATAGAAATCACATTTTTAGCAACAACTTTGAATATTCGGCGGTGGCAGAGAAGTATAAAGTTTAACGTTTTAGTATTGCATGAAGATTTAACACATAAACAGACACGTGAAAAATATTAAAAAGGGGAAAATTATGGGTTCTGGCATTATTTGAATGAATTCATTATTATTTGCAGTTGATTACGAGGCCTTCCTTGGGAGAAGGCCTTGGTTTGATGTAATAAATATACATCATATAGATTGTGTTATATGGTGGAAATAAGAAGAATCATTATTGACATATTCGTTTTGTTGGAAGGACCGTAGTCGATAGGTGATGAAGGTCGGAAAGAACATTATTTGGCGACGGAGGTAGGAATGATCATAGTCGGCAATCGATGGTAGTCGGAAGAATCGTTGTCTGGCGACAAAGGTCACAATGACAACAAATGGTAGGGGTGCTAAAGTGAACATTGGAATCATTTATAATTTTATCATTTCAACCTTAAATTTCTTACATCATCATATATCCACCTAGATCATAATAGTTTCTTCTCTTTTGAAACAAATGATTCAACTCATGAGTTAACTAGGATATGCTAAAGGTTAAAAATTTAGGTTCGACTCATTTACACCCTTACATGACAATGGGTCAAGATAAGCCGAGTTGTATGAAAAAGATGGATGGGTTGGTGCTATAAAAAATATGAGTTGGGCCATGTTTACGGTTAAAATTTTAGGTCAGATTTTCATTAATGGCAAGCTACAATTAAATAACAGTACAATTTTTTACTTGCAATGAACCTTATTAAAAAAAAAAATCCAATAAGGAACTCGACGAAATAGAAATCACATTTTTATCAAGTAAATTAAACTTTTTTTTTTTATATTTCACCGTACGAAAGCTTCTATTAAAATTTCATTAAAATAAGAACTAAACATTATGGTAGGGTAAGGGCATATTCAACTGAAAATTTCACTCAAAAATACAATAATACAAAACTCATTTTCAATTAAATTTCATTTTCTTATATAAAAAAAAATTATTTCCGTATTCTTTCTACTTTATTTTATATATTTCTAATCATATATTTATCTTAAAACAAAAAATATATAACAGATAAACAGTGCAACGGCACTCGGCCGGCATACACATAGTTAAGGTTCGATTGGAGAAGGCCTAATTGCAAGCTGGTTTAAATCATAAAACTGCAAAAATGATCAAAATTCTATTAAAGATCATTTTTCACAATGGTATAAACGATCTACGCTGAAATTTTTTATTTTGTGCTGTAATCAATTGTCATAACAACTAAAAAACAGTTTTTAATTGAAATTAACGATGTCCATTAATTCCGATCGCTCCACGATCTCGCACTCGCTTATGTAAAAGTTTAGTTGATCCAAAGGAAAACAAGTCTCAGATTTTAATAGAAATGCATACAAAAGCACTTATATATAACAAACAAATAGAGGCTCGCAAGAGTTCACCAATACACATAATCAGCCCGAGATCTCTATGGACATCACGCCAACCTTCTTAACCTCCTCCTTAGGTACCGTGACGGTGAGAACGCCGTTCTCCATGGCGGCCCTCACGCCGTCCACCTTCGCATTTTCCGGTAAACGGAAGTGTCGTTGGAAGTTGACACTACTGCGCTCCATGTGATGCCAGATTATGCCCTTCTCCTCTGTTTCCCGCTTCTTCTCCCCGCTGATCCAAAGCCACCGCCCTTGTTCCTCCACCTCCACCTTCACCTCCTCCTTCTTCAGCCCTGGGAGGTCGGCCTTGAACACGTGCGCCTCTGACGTCTCCTTCCAGTCGAAACATACTTCGGCAAAATTTGAAATCTTGCCACATATACTAGATCGGGGATGGGAGAGGCTGTTGGATCCGAAGTGAAACTCCCCCAACGAGTCGAAGACGTTGCCTCGGCGAATAATCGTCATTTCTCTCTGATCTCTTGTTAGGGTTATCGAGCAGCGATAACGGTTGATTTCTTTAATTTATAGGGAACCAGTGAACTTTATTACGAACTTACTGGAAAGCCCTATTTCTTGAGGGTTCCAAAATAGTCGATTCTAAAAGTTTCAAGACAACAATTTGCCATTTTAAGTATGTTTATATATATATATATATATATATATATACTTTTATCTACTTTTATAAAAACCGTTTGAATTTCTTTTATAAAAATCCCCAAGTTTGTTCGTTTCTTCCCTCCATCTCTTTAATTTCGCGTGCATAACGGTTTTAAAAGAGGCGCTAAAGAGGGTTCTTCGCCTTCTTCTACCTTATTCTTATCGAATTGAAGTCACGACTTCAACGCTATGACATATTGCTGTAGAGAAGTGATTATTCGAAGGCCGATTCTAATTTTTTTTCTATTAATAAAAAGTTTGACTATATTTTTGTTCATTCCTTGAATGCAATTCATCCGCCTCATAGAATATGTCATCTATAAAAAAAGGTGTAGGTTAGTGTGGTTGATAAAGAGTTTTAATAGTTGTTGCCATTATTTTTTAGGAATTTTTACATACATAACATCTAAAATTATTTAAAATACATATTCAACACCTAAATTAATGTATTTACTGATATACCACTTAAAATCTTCCTTTCCTCCTGTTTTACCACTATATTTAAGCACCGTTAGCTAGAGAATGTGAATCAGGCACTTATGATCTCTTGCCTAGACGAGCTCGAGGTTATCTCGGTCACTATGAGAGACTCACCATCATCATTCATCTCTTGAACGACGGCGCTAATGAAGCTGGGATTGGGATAGTTGTGCGGAACTTTGAGGGAGCTTTGGTGATTGCTGCTGGCAAAGGTTTTGAACACTGGGATGCTTTCCAAGCTGAGGTGAGTGCAGCTGCTGCCATCCGTGAGGTTATCATGGATTGGATGATTGATTTAGAAGGGATCATTATAGAAGGTGATAGTATCAATGCTATCAAGTGGCTGCAGCATATCTATGATCATAGGAATAAGGTCCATTTCAACTTTGAGGGGCCGGATATTTCGTTTTTGATGTGTTTCAAGAAGGTTCTATTTCAATATATAAATAGGGACAGTAATCGGCCAGCCGATTTTTGTGCCAATACAGCTTTACATGATAGTTTTATACTTTATGATGTTAATAATGAGGTTTTCCCCTCAACTCTCTTGAGGTTGTTGAGGGAAGATAGTGATAGGGTTTAGTTACATTGAGTATTTACTTGTAACTAGTCTTTCTTTTTCTCATTAATGCAAAATGCAATATTCAGCTCTTGAACGACGGCGAGGAGGATGTGAGAAAAGCTGGAGAAGGAAAAGGAACAGAGCTGAGAACGAAAGCCAAAGCAGAGAAAGAAAAAGGCTATGTAATTCATTACTTTTCCTTTTACAAGCTAGGTCTACATATAGCAGTGGGCACATAATAATGAAGCAAGAAAGTGAAGTAATAGGTCCACATGTACAACTAAAAGACATAGAGCTAACAGGCCCTCTTCAAATTGATCATTCATGGGTTGAATGGTCAATTTGGAGCAGAGGTCTTTGAATCTAGCAATTAGACATTATCTATGATTCCTAAGTTAGATATAATTTCTTGATAAATATTTAAGTTGAATTTACTTTAAGATCATTAATTTATTCTTATCATATATGTTTCATTTATCAATTTATTTAGATATATTTATTAGATAAGTATTGATTATTTTCGTTAATTCAGGATCATCTATTCATATCATTTTGGTTCGCCAAATTATTTATATTGATTTATGAGAAAAGCATTTATGATTTTATTTTTCACTGTCTTATGATCATTAATAAATCTTATATATCATATAATTTTTTATTTCAGACAATATGTGAAATTTTTATTATTATTATATTATTTTCCATTTTATCATAATATGTGAAATGTTTTTTGCTATTATTGCAATTTATTCTATTATTCTTATAGATTATGTTTCTTTTTTTTTTTTCTTTTTTTAAAGATAGATTTTTGGACAAGCGTTGATTGTTTTTGTAAATTGAAGAACATCAATTCATATCAATTTTTTTCATCAAATTATTTATATAGATTTGTGAGATAAGCATTCACTATTTTTCTTCACTCAAACATGTGATCATTGATAGATATTGTACATAACATAATTGCTTATTACTTATTTACTTGCATGTTTCATTTTTGTGTTACAACTTTTGGAACATTATGATTTGGTTGTGTTAGCAGATGTCCATAAGGTTGTTAGTCATGAAAGATGTTCTGATTTTTTCGTTCAATGAGTTTCTCTCACATGAGCACACACTCTAATTTCAGCGTTTTTTTTATCATGCTGTCACAGTGATAATAAAATATGATGCAACCAAATTATTTCTATACTTAAGATATCTATTTATTTCTCATCGTTGAGAATTTTGATGAGATTAAGAGTTCCCTTTGTTTCCTTTTGTGGCACGATTGTACCGTCTCAATCCATTCATTTCTAATGACGTGCATTTACGCACAATTTTGTTTTTTACAATTTTCATGCAAAATTTACAAGAAATTTGTTGTCTCATATTTATTAATAGAAAAATTTCTTCTATTTCACAAAATTAAACCAATTATTTATATAAATTTGCAAAGCACTGTAACATAATTACATGTCATATTTTTTTTTATTTTTAGAATTTAATGTAACTTTTGTGTATGATAATTGAAGTAGAATGACCATAAGCATGAAACAAAGGATATACATTAATTGAAATGCTATGTAATGCCCATTTAAATTGATAAATACTCTACAATGAATGAAAACTCGTTTGAGAAGACATCAATGAGAGCAATAACATGTGAAAAAGAATATGTTTTTAACTTTAATTTGGCAAATGATAGTATTGATTAAATTTGATATTTATTTCAAAACATATGAAATGACTTAAGATTTTGTAGGATTTAAAGTTATCATTTTGATTGTTTAGCAGATTTAAATTAAATGTTGCTTAAAGTCTACTACCTAACAATCAATTAAACTTTTATTAAAAGATTTATTTTTATGCAAATATATAAACACAACTTATTTTTATCTCTAAAAGTTTAAACGAAAACGCAAAAAAAAATAATATTTATCCAAAATTTTCTTGAATGACTATAAATTATAAAATTTATGATTATAATAATTATTGGTGTATAGTGTGATGCCCCATAAATCAATAGTGAAAGGATTCGTCTGACATTCTGATCGAACTCCATTCCAGTTGCCTTGCTCGGACCTGAAAAATTTTAACCACATAGAATGAGCTTACAAAGCCCAGCAGGTCACCAAAGCCTACAACTGAAATCAAAGCACGGCGATGCTATCAATATGCAGATCAAAGTAAATCAAGTCAATCAATGG